CATCCCAAATAATTGATTCAAGTTTGCCAGAGTTTAAGGGACCCCCAAGTGTTGTCAGTGCTCCACCAATGAAGGCTCTCCCTGGTGGACATGTCAGTACTTCAAAATTGGATTCCCCTAGTGCTGCGGTTAATGTTCTACCTGACCACAAAGCTGGCAGTGCCATTATGCCTCCATACAATCCTAGACCCTACACCTCGGCCTTTACAGCTTCTGAGGAGTATAGACCCCCTAGCACTACTGTTATTGTTTCACCAGCATCTTCCAGTGATGCTGCGAGCATTTTGCAAGCCCATGGACCCCTAAGCTCATCAGTGAGTCCAAGTAGACCCCCTAGTCAAAGCAGAATGGCCCAAGCTTCTCCTAGTAAAGTTGGTTTCGCTGGGCTTTCAGCCAAACAGCTGTCAGGGATAGCTGAGAGTCGAGACTTTGGCTCTTGGTAAATCAGCTTGTTGAAAACCTTGTTCGGAAAAAACACTCAGGAGAAGTTTGGTACAATTGAAGAAAAGTTGGGGGAACATTCCATTCCATCAGAGAAACCAAAGGAAAAGATGTTGTCATGGGATGCATCAAGTAGTAGTAGTAGTAGTGGTAGTAGCAGTAGTAGTAGCAGTAGTAGCGGTAGTAGTCTTGAATCAGAAGATGAGGGAGACGATGAAGAGAGTGAAAGTGATTCAGAATATGATGAGAATGACGATGATGATGAGAGTGATTCTGATAGCGATTGCTTTGATGCCAAGGTACAGAAGTTACTACAATCAGCACCCCCAGCACCTGGACCCAATTACATGTAGTACAATTAATTGAGGGTGATGAGCATGCTGGAATTTGATTGGGTGTGTGCTGTTATGAGATGTCTGTGTTTCGGTTTAACATAGGGTTGTGGGGTGGATTTTCTAAAAAATAAAACTTGATTTATTACGATATAATTTTGCTCAGCACTAGTACCAGTATAACATTTGATGATGATTAATTTTGATCTCACAGTAAGCATTGATAGAGTAGTACAGCTTGCTTTACATTGTACCGACTCCCAGAGTAATATGTAGTTCAATATACATATGGAATTAAAATTACATATTTTACATATATACAGTACTCCATGTGCACAAATAACTCTGAAGCTCAATTTTCTTTTCTGATGCGTCTTGTATGTTCTGTACAAAACAAATCCATGTTGGATCCCGCAGTTTTGAATTCTGCTTTCAAAGTAAATAAATCTATTTGAAGTGTATAAATATTTGCGAAAACCAATCTGATTAAAATCTGATGTAGGTATAGGCTACAATTTTTTTTCATATACGAATATTTGCGGTTGTTTTATACATTGTATTGTATCATATCTTAATTATTAGTTTACAAGACCATTATACGATAAAAAAAAAAAATTCTATACCTACATCAGATTTTAATCAGATTGCCAAAAAACATGCTACCATGTGTTTGCCTCTTACGATACCCTACATATTACACAAGCACTTCTAACAAAACAGCTGAAATATTTTTTACCCCCGTCACGGGATATGGCTCAGTTTGATCACTTTTCGTATCAAAAATGTCAAATGTGGGGGCATGAACTCTTTGCAAAAAACATGCATGTACATGATATGAAGCAGAAAATACTAAGAATTCAGACAACTCTGTTGATAAAAAAAAAAAAAATTTATTCATCTTAGTAGAATACAAGACTACATTACATTTTAAAAGATTTCTGTTTTCACAATAAAAATGATTGAAAATTAAATTTTTGTTTTGAATCCTTATTGAGCTACTGGAATAAAAAAAATTTCTTCACATTTTTTTGTAGAACATCTATGGTGTTGTTTCTCTAATTTTACTTTTTTTTTTCAAAAATATCCAGTTTAAGATAACTGGAAGGTTATTTTCATTTATTAATTGTACATGCAGGACTTGTCGTCACACAAAGACTATCGTACTAATTTTTGTGCTAGCTAAGGCTACCTGATTTCAAATGTATATGTATTATCAGTAGCAAAAATGAATTACTAGAAATTTACAAAAAAATTAAACTTTATTTCAACCAGTATGAGTTCAAAGTAATTGAGCAATATCACATTATTTGTGTTCACACTTGTGTTCCTGCTAAACATAATGGACTACTCAATATTACCAGCTCTTATTATCAACTCGTAAAATAGGTAACCCACCAGTTTTTCAAGAAATGTTAATTCTGAGCCCTGATTGTAATATAAACTTGTACATGAGCCTTCACCATAATTACTGGTAAAGCAAATACATCTTTATGATTTCCAAAAATTGGGATTTTGTTGAATTCTTCTTTGAAAATTTGAAAACCATGTTTGTAATATACTAGCTGGGATGAATGTCTCGTTGGGCTGCGGCGACATCTGGGACTGAGAAATGGCAAATGAGGAAGCATAGTTGTAAAAGTTTTCCAACATCTTGGACGTGAACTGTGTGAAAGAATCCAATGATGAAACCTGTTGGATAAAATAAAGTAAAATTTTACCTTCACTTAAGAGGCATCCTGATAGATCTAAGCAATATCTAAATAAATACCGTACTGTTATTATACATCTGTTACAGC